ATTAACTCAAAAGTCCACAGTCCAACATCTCATATGACACAAGGCTTCTGCCTATGAGCCTGTAAAATCAAAAGCAAGTTAGTTGCTTTTTAAATACAGTGGGGGTATAGGCATTGGGTAAATACAGCCATTCCAACTGGGAGAAATTGGCCAAAACAAAGGGGCTACAGGCCTCATGCAAGTCTGAAATCCAGCAGGGCAATCAAATCTTAAAGCTCCAAAATGATCTCCTTTGACTCCATGTCTCACATCCAAGTCCCCCTGATATAAGAGGTGGGTTCCCATGGTCTTGAGCAGCTTTGCCCCTGTGGCTCTGAAGGGTACAGTCTCCCTCCCAACTGCTTTCATGGACTGGCGTTGCGTGTCTGCTTTTCCTGGCACACAGTGCAAGCCATCAGTGGATCTACCATTCTGGGGTCTGGAGGACAGTGGTCCTCTTCTCACAGCTCCACTAGGCGGTGCCCCAATAGGGACTCTGTGTAGGGGGTCCCACCCCACATTTCCTTCTGCTAGAACCTCCAAACAAGCTCTCAAAACAATGGCCTCCCATAATTTTGCTTTAAAAAATTCCCCCTTTTTGATCAGGTTCTTACTTAGGTAAGAGCGTGATCAAAACGTAGAGCCTCAGCGGCACCCACAATTTTGGGTTTCTGGTCTCAGCATGTTATTCATAGGTTATGGTGCCCTCATATTCACTTACTCCTTTCAGCTCTTGTCATTCCAGTTAAAGAGAGACCATTTGACATTCTTGAGATGGCTTCATGCAAACATTTAAAATTTGTGCTGTATTGAGGGAATACAGCACACCAGGGAGACTACTATTATGACTATCAGGAGGATCATACCAAATGTTTGGAGTGTGCTCCTTACCCAGGGTCCACATAAACCAAACCACCTAAAATTAAATACATCAAAGAATGAGCTAGATAAAGAATTGACTCACTTAACTAAGTAGTCTCTTCTTTAATCCCCTACAATTGAATCTCTATAATCTACATTTGATGTATGTTTTCATAGACCACTCAAGTGCCAAGAGCTGCACAAATACTTTTCCATTTAGCCACTAAATAATCTGGAGCAATTCTGTTATTCAGTGTAACTTTCACAAGATAATTTAAAGTCTGTTGTGTAACCATAGCCTTTACAGTAGAATCTGCTATAGAGCCTACCATAAGGGATACATTTCTAATCATTGCCTCTTTTATTCCAAACCATGGAAAAGGGGCCTAACAAATGATGCCCTTCTAGAAGATTGAAGGCCTTCAGGCAATGTTCTCTTTAACCCATGGTATGGATTAAGAGGAGTGAACCAATGTTCTATTTCTGACTGATTATGAGGCAACACAGGTACCATTAGCTTTTCATCTACATTGGGCCTTAATTTTTCATCTATCAAGGTATGAGGTTATCCATGTATAAGGCTGGCTGCAAAATCCTTTACAAATAAAAGTATACTCCGTGAGTGTACACAACAGACCCCTCTTTCACTTCTATTGTCCACAGAGTCATAACTAAGGAAAAAATATCTAAAGATAAGCGTCTCATGATAGTAGAGAAGTTGTGATCTGTGATCTTGGGAAAAGCTGCTCACATCAAGGATGCCATCTTCTTCTGGGGAGGAACTTCCCTGGTTAACTTTACCTAAAGGGTTCCAGTGGGTATATAGTTCCAAGAGTGTGGAGGGATCCTTCTTAGTTGTGAGATTATGAACATGAGGTTCAAGGTCCTGAAGTTTTGCTGCAGTGCGGATGGCAAGGGCAGGCTTTCTCTGATGTTCCCAGAAGATCCAATCTTCAGGTTCTAGATTGTGAAGGGGTTGATTGTCCTCAGTCAGTAAACCATAAAAAGTTTTCTTTACCTAGTGAAAAAATACTGTGGTATAATAACGTACTGTTATAACATCAGCCCGCTTGCATGGGAGACCTTTTATAAAACCAGAAAACATGCATTGAAAATGACAGTTGAATGAAATTCCTCTATAAATGTTTAAATGGCCCATCAGGTAGCTGAATGTACCTGAAGCTTTGATTGTCTTCCCAGTAATATGGGTTTGACAAACCAAACACTGGTCATAAACTATTTTAGTAATTTAGAAGTCACCACACCAATATATATTTAATTTGGATCATTGTATCTTTCCCATGATGAGTCATGGAATGCAGAACTTTTAATAACAAAAGCTTTGAGAACTCAGGAAGGATGAGGCAGCTGTCCTGGTTCTCTGTGATTCCATGCTTAACACTGGACATATGTCCTCTTGAATACCAGTTGTTTCTCCAACTTAGGTGCACAGCACTGAAAACTAATGGGTTATCATAGGTAATTTGACTTAGACCATGGAGTTCATTCAAATTGTATATCTAAACAATTTCAGTATCAGCTGATTTAGCATGAAAATCTGGCAAAGTATTTTCTTGGTATTCAATTAATTTTTGTTCTACTTGGGTTAGCAGTTTTGTAAACCAGTCACTCTTTTCATTAAAGCTCCAAGAATTCTTACCTAGTCCAGATGATATGATTCTAAAGTTATCAGAAACCTGTATTCAAGAGTAATTTTCAGAGTCCTTTCTATTCTTTCATGAATCTCCTAAAATATGCCATATTCTAGGATTTTGCATGCTTGTGAAGTTTTCAGAAACTGCATCAGTATTAAGCAATTAACTGTGGAAATGACTTTAAGTAGTCATAGTTAAAAGACACAATTGACAAGCATATTTGGTTATTTCCATCGTCCACAATAATTTAACATCATAACCATACTTATGATTGATAGCATATATTCAAACATATTAGAATTTTAGAAATCCTATACAATTTTGGAACATATATTAATAACATTCACTAAAATGTAACCTGAAGAAGGTTGAAACTTGTTTTTAATTTTGACAACGCTTCCCATGTAACTTAACATGTTAAATAGTCTTGTTTACCTCTCTTTTGGATGCTTCAGGGGCCCTCTGTAGTATCCCAAAGTTAGAGGTCAGAAAAGACCATTTTGAAGCTGAAATTTGATTTTGGGAAGCCTGTCAAATATGTTAAAGGTTTAAAACACTTGATATTATGAGATAGAATTCCTGGTCACCATAAGTCATTCATTTAGCCAAAATGATGACTCAAAAATTTTAAAAAGGCAGAAACCTTTACTAAGACTTAGTTTTCCAAACAATCTGTCTCTTGTGTTTCTCTTCTTTTTCCTGTAGCTTATTCAAAAGGCAAACAAAAATATTTGATTATCCTTCAATATCATGCGAAAATCTTGTTCAAAAGAGAAAGCCAAATTTCACCCTTGCATTAGCATACTATTAATGTCAACCCCAATCTTTAATAAATTATATAGGCAAATTTATCCAATCTTAGCTTGATCATAAGGTGAGATTCTCATAAATCTTTTATAACACTTTACAAATGTTTGTTAAAGAGTAGATCAGTGCTCTAAGAAAACCCTGTTGTGTCTTTATTTCAATGTCCAACTTACAGAAAAAACAAGTAATAACCCTTTAAAAGTAGCCAATATGTTCACATACAGAATTTTCTTTCTTTTTTTCTTTTTTTTTGAGATGGAGTCTCGCTCTGTCTTCAGGCTGGAGTGCAGTGGCGTGATCTCGGCTCACTGCAAGCTCCACCTCCCAGGTTCACACCATTCTCCTGCCTCAGCCTGCCATCATGCCCGGCTAATTTTTTGTATTTTTAGTAGAGATGGGGTTTCACCATGTTAGCCAGGATGGTCTCGATCTCCTGACCACGTGATCTGCCTGCCTTGGCCTCCCGAAGTGCTGGGATTACAGGCATGAGCCACTGTGCCTGGCCAATAATTTTTTTTTACAAGATTAATTTTTCATAAATCTTCCACAATTTGCTCAAACCTTCAGCTTTATCCTAATTTAAAACAATCCTTTAAGCCTCTAAACTAGACAAAAATTTACCTTCCTGCTCCTTCTTATAATCTTTTGCTAAAAGCGTATTTCACTTTCCTCACATACCTTACATGTAAAACGGTTTTTTCAGTGGTCTCAGTTACATGTTACAATGTTAACTCTTAGCAATTTTTATTTTTGGTGAAAAACCCTGGTAAGTAGGTGATTTTAATTACGTACCAGGTGTGAAGCCTAGGACACCAAACAGAAGTATAGATAAAGTCTGACTCTTTTTAGCATAGCCAGGGGGCTTGGCTAACTCCACATGTCCTTAGAACTTACTTCAAATCTAAAGCAGGCCCCAAAGCAGGTAAGTTGAAAAATTTTCAAAAGTCCAAGAAGCAGTTTATTACCTTATTTAGCAAATCTAGGCCGGGTGCAGTGGCTCACGCCTGTAATCCCAACACTTTGGGAGGCCAAGGCGGGTGAATTGCTTGAGGTCGGGAGTTTGAGACCAGCCTGGCCAACAAGGTGAAACCCTATGTCTACTAAAAATACAAAAATGTAGCTAGGCGTAGTGGCGGGTACCTGTAATCCCAGCTACTCAGGAGGCTGAAGCAGGAGAATTACTTGAACCTGGGAGGTGGAGGTTGCAGTGAGCCGAGATCATGCTACTGCACCCAAACCTAGGAGGTTATTTAGTGAATCTAATATGTGACCTGCCTAACTTAGACCAAATGTCTTTATTTATTTCTCAAAGCTTGCTAAAGTCACATGAACTAAAAGGCATTACAGTTTTAATTTTTCTTACAAAATTTTTGATTTAAGTGTTTATTATTTTTAAGCCAGTTAATCAGAGCTCTTTTATACACAAATGTCACACACAGAACACATATAAACACATAGAAACACAGAAGATCCAGTAGTTGTAAGATGTTTCATTTGCCAGTTTTTAAGTTTCTTAACTGGATTACTGGATTCAGGGTGGAGTCCTTGGAGGAACAGGGCTAAGAAAACTTTCAGTTTCTAGGTCCTAATAAGTAAGCACAGCTGGAAGACAAAACAGATCTCCAAAAATACAGGATCCCAATTTTATACCGGATCCTGTATCCTTTGACTGTGCATTTCATTGCAAAGCCACCCAAAGCTGATCAGCCCATTCTGTGATTAGTACACCCCAATGGGAGTCTTATCTCTTGGTAGGGGGTGGGGACATTTCCATACTTTCCAGGTGGCCAAGATCATGCTTCTCTGATCCAATGTGCAAAGAGCTGAGTGTTTCCCCAACTGCCATTTGCCATCCCTAAAAGTATACTTAGCCTTAGATTTTGAGAGAGATCTATCTGCTTCTAATTCCTGGGGTTTCATGAGGAAAACAGGTTTTTCCCAAAACGGGGTCTGTGGCACCTCCTCTGTTTTTCCCACGGAGTCCTAGACTGTTAGAAGTTATCTTAGGTCCTCTCATGTATGCATCAAGAGTGGCAAGAAGAAAAAAATGGAGAAAAACAATTCAGTTGCCTGAAAAGAAAAAAAAAAAATAAGATCCAAAAAGAGAAAAAAACCATAAATGCCTTTTAACTATACCTAGGGCTTGAATATCCACTTTTAACTGAGTGTTTTGTTTTGTTTTGCTTTTTTGGGGACAGAGTCTCACTCCGTCACCCAGGCTGGAGTACAGCAGTGCAATCTTGGCTCTCCTCAACCTCTGCCTCCCAGGTTCAAGCGAGTCTCTTGCCTCAGCCTCCTGAGTAGCTGGGATTACAGGCGCACAGCACCATGCCTGGATAATTTTTTTTTGTATTTTTAGTAGAGATGGGGTTTCGCCATTTTGGCCAGGCTGCTCTTATACTCCTGACCTCAAGTGATCTGCCCTCCTCGGCCTCCCAAAGTACTGGGATTACAGGCGTAGGCCACTGCACCTGGCCTACGCTGACTTTTAACCAAATATTTTTTTAACCGGATTCTAGCTGGAACAAATAGCAAATATTTCTGGCTTTTGAACTTTACCAAAGGTAACCTCCCAGGTGCTCAGAGAAAGAAGAATTCAAGATGGGAAGTCAAAAGGAGAGGAAGAGAATCAATAAATAGCAATAGCCACTTAGATATCAAACCAGAAAGGACTCATCCCCTAAGCCAGTAATTGAATCCTGGCTGCCATTGAGAAGAGACAAAGCCTTCACCATGAAGCTACAACATTGGGCAGTTTCTGTTGTTTCTTCCCAGAAGGAGCCTAGAGCAGTCAATTTTGAGCTGCAATGGCTTTTAAATGTTCACAATAATTTTTAGAACTAACTATCACCACATGAACGCCCAAATTCCTGTTTCCTGGATGGCAGAGGCCAAGAGAAAGTACCACCCTGTGGTTACAAGTTCAAGCTCACAAGAGCATGAAACAAGACAAGAGGGAAACCTCATCCAGTTTGTTGTTGTTGTTGTTTGTTTCGGGGACCTGCAGCAAAGTTTATAACTGACCAGTTTGCTGGGTTGGCTTGAGCAGCAAGCTTATGGGGGCTAGGCCTGCATTCCATCTTATGGTACCTCTTTTTATGACTGAACGATGCAGAAAGACAAATTCATAGCACAAAGTACACCAGATTTGCTACAGCTTAAGATCAGCCTCACGAATTCTTTCCACATTAATTAAAACTTCACAAGAGATAGTAATTTTTTACCATTCCTACAACCACTTTGCACAGAGAGAGAGGAAAGGAAAGGAAAGGGAGAAAAGCATTGCTTGCAGCAGGGTAAAGAAGGCAAGCCACTCAGAGAGGCCAGAGTAAGACCCACCCACTGTAGCGACGCCAAATCAAAAGTTCAGATGGCCACATGTCAGTTGAAAAGGGATATTTTCCAGCAATCCCATCAGCCCTCAAGTTTCCCCCTTTGGGGAGAAAAAGTTTCCCCAGGTCCCATGATCCTGTACACGCCTAATTCTGTCACCCACTGTCACCAGCAAATAGTGCAAGACAGATTAATCCAAAGAGAATAACAGTTAACAGCCCATAGTGCCAAATCCATTCTTAACCAAGAGGGACTTTACTGAGGGGAGGGCCTCTAACTCAATCCTCTAACCCAGCACAGGTAAAATGTACTCCACTACTTAGCCAAAGTCATCCAACTGGTGCTGCAGTTACTTCCTTTGCATTAGAATAGTAACTAAGCCAAAAGGTTAGCAGATTTAATTTTTTTAATCAATTAGTCATTTAAGCTTTTAATTTGCCTTTTATAAAGCCTTCAAATAAAAATACTGAAATATTTTTACAAACTTCTGCATATCAATACACATCCTTAGATGAGACTAATTTGGAAGCCCTCATTTTCTAACACACTTCAGTGCAGTGTTGTTCATTTGGAAAGTTTCACTGTAATTTATCTTTAGTAAGATTTTGCCATTTCTTTAAGACTTTGTTGCTTATAGAGCCTAACACTTGTGCATGTATAAGCCAGAAGGAACTCAGTTCTTCAGAAATTAAGGATCTTATTGTTACCTCAAATATTGGCTTTGCTTTCAGGTTCCCTTGATCAACCTAACCAGTGATTTTTTTCCTACCTAAGTGCACAAGAAAAATGAACCAAAGGGGTAGAACAAGAAAATCCCCATGAATTTCTAAAATCCAAATTTTATACCCCCTGCAATATTGTCATTTACTACTGGTTTCTTTCTGACCCAGTCAGATGCAAGAAGCCTCTAGCTGAATCCAAACCAGTTAATTACTGGACCCAGTCCAGTTTCTTGTCACAACTTCCAAATCCAGTTTGGATCAGAAGCTTGCTCAAAGAAACTCAGAGAGCTAAAAACACAAATCCATGGAACTTTGGAATCTGAGAGAGAACTTACCACAATTCCCAGCTGCTCCAAGAGATCAATGGACACAATGGGTCCAGAGAGTTCCTCACTTGGTCACTCAGTGCTCCTAGGGGATGTTAGAAACTCTACTTTGGATCCCACTTCTGACACCATCTGATAAAATAAAAACTTCAGCTGAATTAAATTTAAAGGGGTTTAATTGAGCAACGAACAATTTGCGAATTGGGCAGCCTCCTGAGCCAGAATAGGCTCAGAGACTCCAGCACAGCCACATAGGGGAAGAAGATTTATGGACAGAAAAAGGAAAGTGACGTACAGAAAAAAGAAGTGAGCTACAGAAACAACTGGATTGGTTACAGTTTGTTGTTTGCCTTATTTGAATACGGTTCAATTAGCTACATCTGATTGGTCAAACCTTGATGATTGGCACAAGTGTAGACTATGGTCTATTTATACTTCCACTTGTTATAGTTCATGATGTACAGAGATACCCTTAGGCTGAACTTAATATATGTAAGGAGGCAGCTTTGGGCTAAACTGATTTAATAAATTTTAAACAGGAAACAACCTAATAAGATTCCCCATTAGACCTTTCTATTATCCTCCAGCTCTGGGCTGCCCTAGAACATGTCGCTTAATACATTTTCCTCCCATACTCCTAATTTTCCACATCCCCCCCCCCCTTAATCCTTTCCTGTGAGAATAATATGACTCTGTCTCAAATCTTTCAATTTTGCATAACTCCACATTACTTATACTGTCTTTAAGAAGAATGCTTCACTTTGCAGTCAGGAAAAAAATGATGCTCCAAATGCTGGGCTCTACCTTCCTTATGGGCTGCAGGAGATCAAAAATATCAAATGACTCTGCAGTCTAACCTAGCAGTTGAAGGCTTTGGTTCTGGTGTCAAGATTCCATTCTGTGACCTCATGTAAATTACTTGACCCCCTCTAAGCCTCAGCTTCTTAATCTGTAAAATGAAATGTCGACCCTGAGTAATAAAGACTACATCTTGGGTAATAAAAATAATGCCTACCTTATGCATTTGGGGAGAGTCATGTCAGATATTATATGACAAGGACTTCTCTAATCCCAGTGCCTAGCCCAAAGTATTATAATAATAATTATTAAATCCCTCCCAATCTTAATCATTCTAAGTATTTGACAGTTTACTAATTGAACTCCAAATACTCATTTAATAAGCATCCATTTAATGACTACTTTTTAATATGTGCGTAGTACTACAAAAACAAATAAGGAGGAAGGATGTAGGGCAAAATAAACGTCCACTGAGAGCCTTCTACGTGCCAGGCACTTTACAAATCATCTTGTTTACTCCTTCAAATAACTTGAGAAAGCGTTGTGTCCTCACTTCTATGGATGGCACAGAGCTATGAGAGGTTATATAACTTGCCTGTAAGGCACAAATCTGAGCTGGCATCCAGGTCTGTTTCACTCAGGATCCCTTTCTCCTCCACAAATTGCTGTGCCTCACAAGTAGAGTGTATGTCTCAAACTGACCAAACCTTAAATTCAAAAGGAAAAGGGAAGAAAAGAGGGGTCAGATGAACGGAAAGTGGAGGGGAGAAAGAGGGAAGGATAGGAAGGGGGAAGACCGGAAAGAGAATCAGATGCTGAGGAAGAGAAAATGCAACAACAGGGGAAAGCCAAGTAGCTCCCCCACTTCCATCCATTGCAGAGGCTGGTGGAGAGCCAGCCCTCTGAGCTCATCCTCATCACCTTAGGTGACGTGTCCCTGCCAAATGAACCAGTGCCAAAAGGAAATGCATCATGTCTGTGATTTCCCACAAACTCCAGCTAACAAAAGCTGATCTCACCCTCTCCTTTTGGAAGCTCCAACAAAAGCTCTCTAGCCTTCTAGGTAGATTCTAACTCCCTGTCTTATTTACAATTTAATTTTGTACTGATAATTGTCTCATGTGGGCTCATCTTTTTCTCACACCCAAGCTATAAAATATTCAATGCATGCATTTTGGTTTACTCCTCTGTAAGAAGACAGTCACTGATGAAAGCACACTACAAAATTTTATATGACTTCCCTGAGAAGAAACTGAAAAACTCTGCCCAGAGCTTGGGGTAGGCACTCATAGATTACTTGTTGGGGTAGAGAGAGTTACTTAAGAGCGAATAGCATAAACTCTGGAAATATACTGCCAGATATTATGAGGTTATCCTATTGGTCCCATGATAATGGGAGTGTCTGCTGAAGGGAATGAGCCCTTGTCATTGGGAAGAGGTCAGTTTGAGAGTAGAGAACAGAGACTCTGAAAGGAGCTTACCTGGTAGTGGTAGGAGGAATATTTTCTTTACTCTAGATCTGGCAATGCTTGGCAGCTTCAGTGTCATGCAATTGCCGGAAGCATTTCTGTTGGTGGAGGGTGGCTTTCCTTGTCCCTGGGAGATTACCTGCGAGAGAGCCTGGGAATGTGCCAAGGAAAGGGCCTCGGGCTGGGTCCTGACTCATGTGTGTCTGAATTATGCTCTGTGCCACGTGTCCTTTCATCATCAGTACAGCCTGTCCTGCATTGGATCAGGGAGGGATCCACACCCACACCTGCGTCAGGACGATGCAGGGAAATGCTGGACCCTTTCCCTGGAGGTCAGGTGATGGTGCCAACAGAGGACAACAGGGCTCAGCGGCTGCCGGAGCACTGCCTAGGGCTGTTATCTTGTAATATGAAAAGAAGCGGTATCTACCTCTCGGTTGTCACAAGAATTAGGGGAAAGACACGCAAAGCGACTGGAATTCATATCCTCATTCAACGTTTATTCATCTCATCACATGTTGTAGTTACTTCATGCCAAGCTCCAGGCAATAGGAACAGAGCAGTGAGGGAGCCGGGTCAAGTCGCTGCTCTCTTAGTTTATTTCCTCTTGAGAAGTGGGGACAGACAGTAAGCAGATAAACTGTCAGGGACTGAGATGGGGATTTGGGTGCATGTGATTTATGAGGATGTTCTCCTCAGGAAAACCTGTAAAGGGTGAGGAGATCAGGATGGGGAAAGGGAAGAAGCCAAGTAGAGGGGTGCTGTAGAAAAATTTAGCCTGGGCCTGATCCCTCAGGGCCCTGAAGTGCAAATTTCACCTTCAGAGTTGTCCTTGAAGGCAAGAGGGGGCAGCTTTTGTACCCATCTCTGTCAGTCACTGGCCACCCCAGGGTGTTGCAGTAGCCTCCCACGTAAAGAGGCTCCTTAGGCAAAAGCGTTTCTTAGAAGAAGGCCATGGGTATAAGGCGTTAGCTGCTGCGTGCACAGGAGTGGGGCACATGGGCTGGTCATGGGGCATGCGCAGAGCGTCAGCAACATGGGCTACATCTCTTCAGAAGGGGAAAGTCAGGTAGTGGGAACTGCTAGGAGAGGTGGAAATTCAGCGACAGCAGAGAGACTGTACCGTTGCTTTAGACTGCGTGACCATGAAATGGGTGGATTCAGATTTTATAGATTTTGAGACTTAGAATTTGGAGGGACCTTTTTAAAGTAAAAGACTATGAAATCATGAATACAAAGCTAGTACAAACGTGAAAATTTATTCAAAATGAGAAGACAAAGAATTACAAATAAAAGCTAACAAATAAGCATCACAAAATCCAGAAAAAAAAATTAATATTGAATTAAAGTTAATTAAACTTCCTGACACACCTCTACAATACCTTTTCCTGCATTATTCGACCATATATATTTTGATTACCTCCTTATGTGACAATGACTTAGTATTTGCTTTTTAGTAAGAGACTAGAAAGACATTTTAATCTTTTCCTTAAAGTCGTAAACCATTTATTGTTAATACTTTTAAAAAGTTTTTGAGCTTCACGACTTGTTATTTGGTAAAATTATGTGAATTTTGAGGATTATTATCAAGATTGGGAAAGCCTCAATTAAGCTTCTTTCATATATGAGCTATAAGCTTTGAAAAGATGCCCCACAGATAGCTTCTGACTCCACACATTTCAAACTCACTTTTGCCAGGCACAGTGGCTCACACCTGTAATCCCAGTTATTAAGGAGGCTGAGGTGGGAGGATCCCTTGAGCCCAGGAGTTTGAGGCCATTCTGGACAACATAGTGAGATCCTGTCACTTAAAAAAAAAAAAATTGGCCAGGGGTGGTGGCTCATGCCTGTAATCCCGACACTTTGGGAGGCCGAGGCTGGTGGATCATCTGAGTGCAGGAGTTTGAGATCAGCCTGGCCGACATGGTGAAAACCCAACTGTACTAAAAATACAAAAACATTAGCTAGGTGTGGTGGTGGGCACCTGTAACCCCAGCTACTTGGGAGGCTGAGGTAGGAGAATCGCTTGAACCCTGGAGGCAGACGTTGCAGTGAGCTGAGAGTGTGCCATTGCACTCCAGCCTGGGCGACAAGAGCAAAACTGTCTCAAAAATAAATAAACAAATAAAAATAAAAGAAAAAGAAAATAAAACAAACTCACTCTCCTCCCATACTATCCTTGTCTTCTGGTGCTGAATGTTGTAGGACATTTTCATATTGAGATACCTTCGTGTGACGTTAACAGGTAGTCGGCAGTGAGTGACGAGTATTTCAGGAAATCATTGCTGTACCAGGGTACCACACAAGGACGTGACTGCAAAACACTTACATACTTCCCCTCAATTCAATGAACCCCTAAATCAACTTCCCCTTTGCCAGGTCCTCCAATGCCAATGGAAGAGAGGCATGAGGTAGAGAAAATTGGAATAAAAAGAAAAAGTAGCCTTAAGTTTTAACTGATTGTGGTTAAAATATTTTACTTTCGCAACATTTACAAAAACACACATACATATGAATAGATCACTAGGGTCCCTCCCAGAACTTACAAAGGACCCCTGCAAGTGAGGGGCTCTGAAATGTAAGCCTCATTGGTTTCACCATAAATCCACCTCTGTCAGTGAGGGACTCTTTGAGGAGGCGACATGTAGCTGAAAGCACTTAGATGACATTAATTGGAGACTCATGGGAAATCTACGGCAGTCTTTGAAAGCAGAGCTCTCTTGCTCCATCCTGAGTCTCAGACTAACTTATACAAGGACAGGAATACAGCACTTCCCCAGGAAGGCCTCTTTAAAAATAGAAGTCGCCTGTGTCAGAGACTATCCCAAAATTACCGCACTTTGGCCGTCCATGCATACAGGGAATGCCTGGTAACGATCTGAGTGTCTCTGCAGCATTGGCTGGAATCTATAAAGATCTGAAATCAATGCATTGTTTGGCTGCAATTTGCATCCTCTTTTTCTTTGCTGGCTCTGGGTCTCTGGGGGAGGGAGTCCCTTGTGCCTGCCAGGTGCTCTTGATTAGAGTTTGGGGCTCCCATCATTGTAATTATTTGTTTACCTGCCTATCTCCTTTGCAAAAGTGAGCTGTGCCAAGCAAGGGCCCTATCTTATTTATGCTTGCATCCCCAGGGCCTAGCACACAGCCCAGCACACAGAGGGCACTCCATTCATGTTTCCAGATGAATACATAATTGCCTATCCAGGAATGTATGAAAGAAAAAAAAAAATCATTCCACCCATTTCTTTATTTCACCTCAAATTCTCCAAAATAGGTAAGTTAATACTTTGTTCAATTTTGTCAGTAATGCAATGCTTGACCCCGAATCACTTAAAAATATTTCTATTTTTCAAATCATTTGCAGAAGGTATGAGCAAGTTTACATAAATAATTTTCACTGTTTGATAGAAAGCATTCATAAAATCAAGGAGAAATAACATACAATATGCAGTTTTCATTCTGGGTGCTCTGCACTGAAATATGCAACAGATTCTCTTTCTTATTTTTGAGAAGGACAAGAGAGCTGCTTGTCTAGAATCACTGTTCCCTTTGTCAATGAATAAAAGGTCTTTGTATTTGCAAGGATTTCACATGATGTTACAAAAAAACAAAAAGAAAGAAAGAAGGAAAAGGCATGTAAAGTTTTCCATAGCAAGTGTGCTCACAAAATTTGCCTGTACCGCTTAATTACAGAGGATATTACAGAGGATTCAGAGGGAAAACCCACAGTTCTGTGCGGTGCTGTTAGAAAGGCTTCAGGGTGTCTGGGTGTCTTTTCCTTGGGGTCTCCTCTTTCCTTGCTATCTTTCACAAATTAAAAAAAAAAAAAAAAGTTAATTAAAGCTGAACAGTTGAAGCTGATTTCCAAGGGACTGACAACATCTGACACCAAGCTGAATTAATAGCAGAGAAAATATTTTTTTCCTGTATTGAAACTACTAACAGTGTTTAGCAAAAGTGATTTAAATCCTTTATAAAGTTTCTAGAGTTCTTAAATAAACACTGGACTAAGATAAAGGTCTAGTTAACTCCAAACGTTTCAAAGGAGTTAAACAATATAAATATTTTCTTAAAAGTTAAAATCGAGATGAATCTCAAAACTAGTAAATGAAGATTAACTCTGGATATTTAGAAAAGATCTTTATCTATAAATATGTACATTTATAAGGCAAGAAGAGCCTTGGTTTCATTAAGGAAGGAATAGCAGGGGCTGGCGAATGGAATTTTATTAAGTAAAGGTCAATCCATGTAGCATCAGGTGATAGTCCTGTCACCAACTGCCCTACTTCTACAGATAATCTTTAATGATATTAAAAGTTTTTGTCTAACTCCACTTAGTTATTGCTGTCCACTGTTGTACAATGTATGTGAAAACCCTGGCATCAGGCTCATTTAGCTCTGCTAAGATAAGTTAGTTCTTATTAATCATTAGTACCTGATTGAACTGACATTTGCACTAGCAAGAACATGAAAGAAAGAACATAGAGTAGGTATGTGGGCTACAGGGGTCAGGAAGGTTGAACACATAAAATGGTATCCTAAGAGTGGTAAAGGCAGCTGTCCCTGGGAGAGATATCCTCTCCCTGGGTGGAACTTGTAGAATGAGGTGGTTCTGGAAAGACCCCCTGGACTGTGGTCATCTCACCCAAGTCATGCCATCTTGAAGGCTTTTCAGGAGATGCCGGATCACCTTCTCCAGGGCCTGTGTTCTCTTCTCTCTCAATGTGGCCTTGCAGTCATGGTCAAACCCATGGGCTCTGCAACCAGACTGAGGTCCATTGCTCAATTACAATTTCAGCTGTGCCACCTGGGAGGGGGTACTTTTTTGTTTATACATGTCTGCCCCATTAAAATGTAACTTTCATGAGGGCAGAAGCTTTCATTCACAGCCATAGAAGAGGGCTCAGTGCATGGTGGGTGCTCAAAAGAATAAATGAATGATAAGCGAGTGAGTAGATGAAGTGTGTAACCTCTCTGGGCCTAGTTTGTTCATCTGTAAGACGAGGGTAATAACAGCACTCAGTATGACATCTACACAGGTAGCAACTGGTGTCAGAATGCAGCAACAGGGTTTACCTAGCCAAGGGGTCCTTTATGTTCTTCCTGTTTAGGGAGAATGTGGTTTCAGGATGTGCAGCTGCTGGCAAAAGGGTGACAGCTAAAGCCACTGCAGGTGGGTCCTGTTATGTGTTGTTTAATCATGTTCACTTGGAAACTCACTCTGCTTTTTCAAGAAGGAGATTTGGTCATACAGACGACCTTAGGTCATGCTGTTATTTTTGTCTTCATAGGACAGCCATTTATATTTAATGAAATAAAAGAAACTCAAATAATATGTAATTGAAGAAGGAAGAAGGATAAGAGTAAGACTTTCCAGTTATATCTCATGGCTCTCATTCTTATTTCACCTACACGACTTGGGTGGGAAAATATTTTTAGAATTCAGTATGCTCAGTTGCAAAATAAGTATATAAACATTGGTATCTTTCCTACATATGGCTCTGTTCGGTTGGAAAAAAATAATGAATATAGTTTTGCAATAGCAAAACTAAATATTAAATACCCATGAATAAACTCGACAACAAATATGAAGGCCTATGTAAAGAATCCTTTACAATTTTACTCAGAGACAAAAAAGGAAACAATTAAATGAAGTGACATAGTTTATTTCTGGATGAAAAGATTCACTCTTATAAAGGCATCAATTTCCAAGTCAATTTAAAAATTTAATGTGAAAATTTCCACAGCATGTTTCTTGGATCTATTCAAATTAATTTTAAACATTATCTGAAAGACTAAACTTATAAAAATAACCCATATCATTTAGAAAAATCAGAAGAATATGGTTAAGGAAGAACTTGTCCTGTT